GGCCGTACCAAAGGTCGTGTCTAATCGATGTGACAGTCCCGACTTTGTGGATGATCCTAACGTGCCACCTCTTATCTGATCATTATTCAGCTTGCGCCCCTCCCATGTTTTGTCAGTCCGGTTTCATCTTTATTTACCTAAACGCTTTTTGAACCAGTTCATATTTTGTCTTTTTGCGCGGGGACCGTACGAGAACGTAAAGCACTCGGCATTTTAGGGGGTTATCCTGTGTTGAGCATTTTTAACGAAGAATCTCAAATCAAGAACTTGCACATATTTTAAAATTTTATCAAAGAGTGTTTAGCTTTTGATCCATCAGAATCGTAGTCCTTTATTCTTGTAACGAGCATTTCCAAATCTTCTGGAGGCAAGAAATAACAACTTCTTTATGGTTTATTGTCGTTAAAGACTGACTAAAAATCGGAAGTCGTGCACAGGCCAACTCAAGACAAAAACACGGAATTCAGGTTCCTTTGCTACGAAGAATGCTTACAGGCCTAAATAATGTTGGCACGCAGAGCCGTATCTAGCTTGTGAAGCGTAAAGCATTGTGGATTTAGTCATGCCGACATCCTTCTTTAATACTTTAAACAAAAGTCTCAACTCAATAGATGAATTTAGTTTTTCGAGGATGATTTTCACAACTTTAAAAGAAGTCTACACTATTGCCAGGTTCCGCCTTTACGTTTGAATTTATCTAATGGATGTCTTTGAAATTCTCTTCCCCTGCGGCCGGCTAAAAGAAGAAGAAGCAACACAGGCGTTAGGGAATCTGACGTAAAACATCCATCCCAGTAAGGACTAAAACATCAAAACCAAGCGACATTAGATCAAGTGGTATTTAAAAACAATTTCAAGGTCTCGCCGCTACTAATTGCCAACACTGAGTATTCCTTTTGCCTCGTCACCAATATGTACATGGTTTCATTGTTCATGCTTAGTCTTGCCCGAATCTCAATCCTCCACTTCCCTTCCACTTCTCAGTAAGCGTTACATTATTGGGTAGACAAACAACTACCCAAAATGTCGGACTTGCAATAAACCTCTCCTGGTGAAAACTCTTCTTTATTCTGATTTACCACCTGGGAATCACACTTTTGCCACTCTTACGGCTATAGTATTACCTAAGCCCTTGAAACGAACCTTGGCTTGCCAACTAAACTTGGCTACATGTACTCGGCATGAGTTTATACTCAAGTGAATAATTCATCAGTAGAAGTATGCTTTTAAAAATATTCTTCCCGCGGCCGCTGGGAGCAGGTTGGTCCGCGTGTAAGTTGAAGGTGTGCGCGGCGCTTCGCGCCGCGGACTATACTAATCTAACTCAAGAACGGTAAGTTGTACAAGTAAATTGAAGTAGACGACCTCCAAAACACCATTTCAATTTTTCGGGAAATTCAAGAAACCTGCAATTTGATAATC